CTGTCCTTGTTGAAAAAAAAGCATGATGCTGCTACCACCATGTATTGGTAGGATTGGGCTGTCAATGTAATAAAAAAAAAGAGCAAAACATCAATTTAAGTATTTGATGTTAGTGTTGGAGATGGGAACTAGAATTTTCCTGAGGGAAAATCCCAAAGGGATTCATAAAGTTTCTATCTGTCTGTCTGTTTTTATTTTTATTTATTGTACATGTAAGCTAAAAAAAAATGTTTTTTTGTTGTTTTTTTTTTTTAATAGTTTCATCTTAAAAGAACAGCTTCTTGCATGTCTTTGTTTTGTCCCTTGGGAAAACCTCATTATGACTTGTAGCTTTCATTCTGCAGAGGTTTTCTGCCTGACATGTCTCCCTATGAGAGCATTCTCATAGTTATCCTATTAGAGTAAAGTGGGATGAAATTCCATGCAAAAAGTAAGTCCTAAATGCTATGCCTTGACCGAGAGAAATATAAAGCTACAGATTCATCTCCTTGTACAATCTTAAAGTCAATGAATTTGAGTCAGTAAATGTGGGGAATACTATCAAATTTGATGGTGCAAAAATCTATGGACTGAAAAATGATATCAGGCTGGCTCCAGCCATTCTTTGGGGACAGACAAGGACTGTGGCTTCATGTTCCTCTTTGTTTTTCTAAGATGAATTGGGTTCAGTTCTTGAATAAGGCCGGCCAGTGTTCTCCCTATTAGGTGTAGGAACCAGTGTAGGTCAGTGTAGGTCTGACCAGGTGCTGGACGTAAAGTGAATGAAACAAACAAACTCCACTGGAAGCTTTTAGAAGACTTTCAGAAGCCCTAATGGTCTGACGTTCATGACCGTTTTAACATAAAAGAATGACTGCTTGGTGGTTCCTGTATGTATGAAAAATAAACAATGACTCAACATATTTGCAGCTCTGCTGATGACTGTGATCTCGTCTGTTTGACTTCCAAACACACCAACTGTTCTTAAAGCCGATTCACTGCATCTCCATTTACTGCATGTCCACATTCTGCTGAGCAACATGCTGCTGCTGTAGAGAGGAGATCCTGTGGAGGTCATGACGGTGCTGAGTCATCCTGCTGTCTCTGTCAGCAGTGACAAACTGGGACTGGGAATGCGTCACCCTTTTCTCTGCAGATCACACACTGTGTCGTTTTGCCATCAGTTGGTTTGAGCATTTCATCTCCATTTCTTTTGGTAAAACTCAAAAATCCAAAAAACTTCTCAGATGCTTTGGAGCTCTGTCTGATAGACGAGTGTTGGCTGTGAAGCTGGGTGAGTCATTCAGGCTAATCCTCTGCAGCTCACTGCTGTTAAAGGCTTTTCGACTGGCAGAGAAATCAATAATAAATACCATCTGGAAAACTTCCACAGAAGTGATGATTATCATGGCATTTCAATCCACTTCCACATGGAAATATGCATCTCCACACACACTAAGTGTCACAGGACTGCAATCATAATTATTTAGCTGATTGATTTAGTCTCAGCTGAATGTTGTACAGTGAACGACTCTTGGTGCAGTTCCTTCAACTGTAAAACCTCAGAATTTTTCAGAGGAAAGAATCAAAAAAATGTTTTTATCTCCAACAGCCTGCTTGCCTGAGTGTTCAAAGTCTTAAATGAATAACCTTGCTGAAGCAAATTTGGATTTCATTTCTGCATTCATTTTGGTCACCAATTAGTGATAAACCTGAAAAGATGACCTGGTCTGGTTTTCCATCCTTTAGTTTGAGGCATTGTTTGCAAAAAGCTTCCAACAGATCAAAATGATCTCACACCATAAGCGTTAACTGTCAGAGCGAGAGCACACAGGATGCAGTTCTATACATGGACCATGAATCAGTGGGACACGAGGAAAGAGATTACGAGAACTGAACGTTTCCACAAAACTGACTGAAACACAACACAGAAATACCCAGAGGTTGACACACTGAAAGACCTGCAGAAAGTTCTAGTTCCAATTTTTGGCTTGCCTACCTAAACTGAGCTGGTATTACCATGTCATTACACTCTGACATTTTAAAGTATTCTTATTGTGATACAAAATAAGATCAGAAACAGTGTGATGATCAAAACTGATGAATGTTTTCTCATTGAATTGGTTGAAACATTGTGAGAAAGAAGAGAAGACTCCAATCACACCGACAGAAGATTACAGCTGTTCCTCTGCTGACGCTTCACTTTTCACACAAAGCATTCAAAACACTCATCTTGTCCCTGCTTATGAGACAATCGACACAATCGAGACAATCGACAATCGACTGACTCACTAAACAGTACAAATACTGTACATGTAAACTACAGTATGTATTCAGTGTTTACATGGACATAAATTTTCCCATAATTTCCCTCATTTAAAGTATATTTTTCCTTCTCTGGCTGAAGAACAGCCAGAGTCAGTGACGCTGTGCTGTGTTTTAATGTAATGCTTTTGAAACCAAATGTTGGGCAGTTTTGTGTCATTTTAACTGCCTCAGGGAAAACAGGAAATGACTTCACTGTGGTTGAGAAGGGTCATTTGAATGCATCAAGCACAAGTCAGTATCTAACATGTCATGATACGTCCAGGCCACAGGACGAAAAAGGTTCTCATGTTTCTGAGAAAAATAGTTTTCACTATTTGACAAAAATAAGCTTTACGAATCCTAAACTCTGTTCATAGAATCTTTCAAAACTGCAGTCCATGTTTAGTTAGGTTCTAATCTTGGTCCAGTGAAGCTGTGTTTTAATTTGTGATCAGTGTAGAGTTATCCATACTGCTCCCAGAGTTAAAGTTCACTGAGCATTAGGGGTTGAAATATCTATCTGCATAATGTCTGCATGATCCACAGGCATCCGGCTAACGTTTGGTTTATGAGCGGAAGGTTTAGATGTAAAATGAAGACCCAATTAAAAGAGGAGAATGATCTGGGATCCTAATTACAGACACATAATCTGCAGTGGATGAACTGCACACCCCTATGCTTCTGCTCAGCATTTTCATGTGAGGCAGGTTGTGTTATCATTGCTGTAGATTTAATGACTTCATCTTCAAACACACATGAGACTGTTCCTCTTTTTGCCAGCTCTGTTTCTCCTCAGTTCAGTCACAAAGCCACAGCCGGTTTATGAGAGTTCATAGTTCTTGTTGGAAATCACAATTTGTGCTGAACAACGGCCAAATTTCCTCTTATGAAACCCAACCAGACAGCTTCCTGTTGTCAGTGCTTAGCCTTTGCAGCTCAAATGTTCAGTGACATTTTAGTTTTAATTGGTGTTTTTTCCATCCACCAGTAGATGGAAACAAAGTATAAATCACCATGTAAATCTTTATTTAATAAAGTCAAATTGGAGCTGGACGCTTTTATGACTTCTGGCACTTTTACATGTATTACAGACTTTATGGTGGACCTTATGAATTTTTACGAACCAATTTTAGTCCAGACAGTTTTCCCTGGTTTAATATTAGGACTATGTATAAACTTACCAATGCCTCATAGGAAATAAAGTCAATTTGCAGCTTCTATGTTAAAATCAGATCTACTGCATTTCAAAGTCAACTAAATAATTGTGAACTAGGAATTCGATTGATCTTCAATATGAAGCTAAACCAAGAGCTAACGTTGTTGTTGTCAGCATCTAACAGGTCATCGGTTGCGGCGCCTCAGTGAGTCATATGTAATCCAGTGATTGTTCAATTGTTGAAGATCTCATAGAAAAAATATTTCACCACAAAACTCAGTAAGCTGAAGCAGGAACCACAAGAGAAGATTGTGACAGGAAAAATGTAAAATCAGTCCCAGCAATGAGAGTCTAGAGAGTGAGGTTACAACAGTGGAGAGGAGGGAAGGTGAAGGTCCTCCAGCCTGAGAAAACACTGACACACAGGATAAATGTCATTATCCTATGATAATGACATTTATCATAGGATAATGACATAATGAAATAAATATATATATAAATGATGAAATACTATGACTGTATTTCGGCAGCTTGTCTCCTCCAAGCTAACTTGTTTTTTGGTTCACATGTCACTTCCATGAAATTGAATTGAAATCCTTGCATAATAAAAATATCCCCCAAAAAGCAACATAGTGAAAAGATCAAACATGTTTCTCTCTCTCTCCCTCTTTCTGTATTTTTGACATTTTTGTGTGCGTGAGGTCAGTTGTGTTTCTGTGTTGGCTGTATGGATGGATAGGCAGCTTGTCCAAGCTCACCTGCGGCTAACTGCAGGCAGGTAAAAAAAAAATAGGAGTCAGCGTTTTACTGTTTTACTAATATTGAATATCAGCACACATATTTTTAACAAAATTCCAAACTTTCAGCACATGGTGAGCAAATGGTCATTATTCAACAGTCTTGTGGAGGATGTGCAGAGCTGGTTGCTGATGATATGAGCTATCACTGTTCAGCCACCCTGAGGACATTTTAGAAGGAACAAGTGTAGATAAATGACTGTGCATGTGTGTGTGTGCGTGTGTGTGTGTGAGGGCTGTTGTTAAAGCAGATAAGAGGCGGAGAGGACAACAACGATAAGCTCTTGCATGTTGACTCCTCTACGTTGTGAGCACCTTTGCTCTGCATGTTTATTATCTATATTTACATATGTAATGATATTTACTGATATCAGGTGTGTGATGCTGTAATAATGTGTCTGTGAGCAGCAAATAGGAGTGTGTTTCGGTTTAATCTTATTTCAGGACTACATGAATTTTGTTCTGTTTATTAACGACATCTTTTCCAGTGATGGCTATTATTTTCTCTCCTCTCTGTCCTTGTGTCTCCATATGTGGGGCAGAGAGAAGGTGTGGCTGAGGGGGAGTCCTGGCTGGTGGGGCACACGGCTCCATTTCTGGCTCTGGGTTTTTATCCGATGCAAACAGTTGGACTTTCGGCACCGACCATATCTTACTGGATTTTCTGCTATGTTGTTTTTGGCCTGTTTTCCAGTGACCATGCTGACGTGCTGCGTGTCGGCTGCTGACAGGCTGTAAAACCGGTAAGGTTCGTCTGTTTGTTGGCTTATGCAAAAACATGAGGGTAGGGGTTGAGGTTGGGTTACTTCTCTTATCTTGGGACTGTGATCCAGGTGTAATAGTTCCTGAATTTGACCAATAGCAGATCTAGTGTGACTAAAGATATTTTTAGAAATTCCTTCCCCAAAAAAAGTTCCAGCAAGCCTTATTCTTTATGGAGAAACATTCTTTTAGACAGAGTGGGCCTTTATTAACCTGTAACAAACTATTACCTGGGTTAAATGTCAACTATTTCTGTTGTTTAGCTTCTGTTATGACTGTCTCATAATGCATATTTTCTATATAGTCTCAAGTAATTTTCACAAACAAGAAACATCAACTCGGGATATCAGTCCAAGGATCAAAGCATGTACATAAGAGGGATTGTTAATGGTTTATTTCAGAATTGGCTGTATATGTGTATAAAATTTGGTGTGGCTGGGATTTATTAAAATAGGTGTGGCTTCTGATAACAAATCTAGCTGAATGACTGCAGCTACTTTTGCGACTGAATCTTGGAGATAATTTTCAAACTTCTATAAATAAGATCAGTTCCCCTGGTTCTATGAGAGGTGATTGAAAGATGAATGTGAATTTGAAATTTAAATAAATCAGGACCAAAACAAGAAAAGTGGAAATAACATCTCACTTCCTCCAGGAGACTTAGCGTTTTTATGTTTGAATAGGCCGTATAGTACATGTTGGATCAAGTACATGTTTTGGATCCTTGGTTAGCCCTATTGGGTAGAGTTTAAATGTTCCCATTCATGCTGAATGCAGGTTTAATTTATGTTATGCTGGAATTACAAATAGGTAAGTTATTCCTGTTTTTCTAATGTAGTTTATGCAATAGCTCTCAAATATTTACAAGTGGAAAACCATTTACCATTCACCATGTAAAAAAGATTTATTATAGTGTCCATTTTACATTGCGACATCATGACAGTTTAAAGATCCACTGCAGTTTCATTCCACACACAGACTGACTGCTTCTCAGCAGCTATAACAGCACTTGATCAGATGAAATGTACAGAATCTTATTTTTAATTATATGTTGATTCTAATAAAAATCAAAGCTGTGTTGTTTCAATCATTTGGCCTTTATTCTCAGTTTGTATTCAATGGCCGTTTCTATGATTAACTTTCATAACCATGTTGTTCTTTTACTCACAGCAGCCATGACAGAGCTGACAGAGGCAGCACTGACCTATGACCTCTGTCTCCCTCTCAGGTTTCAGCCGCATTATGACTAAACTAGCAGCTTCTGGGGCGGTGGAGCACCCCCAATCCTACATTATTTTTCTAGTGGTCTTCCTCTTCTTCTTGACGGGTCTGCTGGGCTTCCTTATCTGCCACCTGCTGAAGAAGAAGGGCTACCACTGCCGAACCGGAGACCTGGAGGATGAAGAGGACAAGCTTAAGGAAGACGAAGATGGTTAGTGAAGACAAAAGGAGGAGTCAGTTTTTAATTTTGTTGTAATGTTTCCGAAGTGATTTCTTGTGTTATTAGACATTTTCTTGGTGTAATCAGCTAAAGGTGCAGGGCATTTAGCAAAACATACATGCAGTACACACAGAGTGTTTTAGTTTATTCTGTTTTATTTGGTCGCTAACAAGTCTGTACTTTCAGAAATGTAGATAAATGAAAATATAGTTTCCATCACTGACTGGCTTCCACTCAGCTCAGAGGCTTGTTTCCAAGTTTTCAGCAGTTTAATGTTCTGAGTTCCTGCTGGTAAAAACTGCTCAGATATATTAAGGGTCTCATCGTTGAAAACAACTCCAAAAAAAATTATATTCTGTTTTTATTATTTTGTTTACGGACAATAAGCACGCCACGCTTCCAACTTCAATTTTTCCAGTGTCAAACACTACTTACAATATTTTTAACCAAATTAAGTTACTTTAACAATAAATAGCAAATTAAAAGCAAATATGAATAATCTTAGTAGTTTAAGTTCACCAGGCTTCAGATTTGGTGGCAGTGATGATGAAAATGTTAATAATAGATTTTGATATGACACTTCCATCAAAAGATTCATTTGTTTAATTTTTACAGGTGTAATAACATTTGGCACTGGAAAATGTAAAAAAAAAAAAAAAAAAAAAAAAAAAAAAAAATCCAAACATTCAGTTTATGGACACTTTAGTGTTGAAAGCTAAATATCTGTTTGGGACTTTGAATAATTCTTATAGAATAATAAACTTTTTTGTGAGCGTTGAGTCTCATTATGAAAGACTTCTTTTGCTTAGCAAAGGTAAAACTATGATGTTACAAATATGCTCATTTTGTTTACTTGCAATATTAAAATAGCAGCAGAAGATGAAAGAGTGTTAAATATACATGGGATCTGTGCAAAGGGCCTAAATATGGAATCTTTTCCACGCTGAACAAATGGACTAAAATTAAGAATTAGATTTTTCCAAATTATTTGGTTGGCTGTTCTTCTACTGCAATAAAAGTTGAAAGTATTTCAGACATTGTTGCACCAGCCCGGTCGGTGAGTGTCGACGGTGCCATACAATGACAGCAGCATAATGACATTTTAAGTGTTTTGAGCACAGCTGGTTCTGAATCTGTTTATTTCTTGTCGTGTTTTTTTCTCCGTCTCACTCACAAAACCTCCTGAGTCATACTGTGAAGTAAAAATTGTGTCATTATTTCTTTTAACAAATTTATGTAATTATTTTAGTCATTTAACATTAGTATTGTTCAGTCTGATAAAGTATGTAGGCAAAGACCCAGTCAGATAGGTTTCCTGCTGACCTCTCTCTGCAGCAGTTGCAGCAGACTGATGAGTGGACAAATGTCTCAACACATTAGTCCATTCATCAGTGGACTAATGTACCAAAGCAAAGCGCCAGAGTTTAACAGATAACAACAGACAGTTTAGGTAAATACAGTGAGATGGAATAAGCCCTAAGGTCTAACAAATTTCTCCATTGAATGTCACAAGCTCAGAGTACGTACAATGTCTGACAATGTTTTTGATATGGAAAATTGTTCCATTAGCATACTGATTTTTGGAAACTCCCATATTTTGAACAAGAAGATGTTCATCATCTAAATAATTAACTGACCTTTCAGTAAGGAGAGATGCATCCTGTTCATCCTGTGGCTACTGACTGTGCAGTAAACCTGTTCAACTGGAATTGAGTCTGACCAGGGAGTGACCATGTTGTGTAAAGAATCCTATATATTGTGACAGCTTGCAGCTCCAAGTCAGAACTCATTGTAGGTACAGCTGCTATGCTGTGGTTACTTTGTGTTCTCTGTTTGCAAACGACAGAAATGAAAGAATTTTGCTCTTTGCTATTTGCCAGAGTCTCAAGCCTGATCTGTTCCAAACAGATTCGATTTATTTTCCACAATACTCAAACACTCTGCATGAAACCCGGCTGTCTTTGAAGAGTCCTTTCAAACACAAACATGCATTGCTCTGATGCTGCTGCACATGTAAGAACATTTTTCTACACATGTAAACAAACACATACACTCACCCAGATAGCAGAGAGGTTCTGCTCAAACACCTAATCATTACTTTAAACATATTTTGCATAGACTGCACTCCCTCAGGCAGTAAGTGGTTGTATTCCTAGGTGCCTGAAAGGATTCTTGTTTTAATTTGTTCATGTCTTGTTTTGTTGTTTTCAGATGAGAACGATGAGAACCAGGACACCGTGGAGCAGATTCTTAAATGCATCATGGAAAATGAAGGTGACAAAAGTTTGAATGTTGCTAAACTGAATTTATTATTCCATGCTGTGATGCTGGTGTTGATTTATTTCAAATGGCTCTTTTCTGATCAGACGTGTGTATCCCATTACCATTTGGGTGATTTTCTCAGAATTTGTCAGGAAAGTCATTTAAGTCAGTGGATTTGTGATCTTGTATACTGCAGCCAACATGGAGGCCTTCAATGAGATGCTGGGAAACCATAACGTCTGTGTGCGCCATGATCCACGGTAGGACTACACACAAACCCAGCACTGAGCACATGGCAGCAGGCTTTCTTTAAAATGATGATGAACAATTTTTCAAATTCATTTAATTGATAGTTTGAGATCTGTTAATGACACAACAGCACTCTAGAGAGCAACTCATTATAATGGAACTGTGGATAATAAACACAGTAGAATAAACGCTCAGTTTTGAAAGTTCACATTGATACTAAAAATTGTGTTCTTCACTCAGCAGCAACTTGAACACCAAAGACTGCCATATTGTTAGATGACCTGCTACAGCTTAGACACCAGACCATTCCCAGTCAAGCATGAAATCAGATAATTTTTTGTCACCAGTCATGTCCTCCCTGTAATGTTTCTACCAAAAAATTCACAAAAAAACATCTTCATCAAGTCTTTCAAGTTGTCTGGAATACATGAAATAATAAAAACATAAACTTCTGTGAGGTGTAAAAGGAAAGAGCAGATATGTGATTGATCTGGGGATTACATCCGAAAGATGAAAATCTAACTATGTTTTTCCAAACAAGGACCAAGGCTCCAGGTTTGCATAACAAACTGAAGTGTAACAGGATCACCACTTTACTTGTTTCTGTTTGTCTAAATGCATATATTGGATCTTTGACTTTGCTGTCCATAACAATCACAGGCATTTGGAGTATTTTAGGCCAAACTATCATGAAAAGAAGTAATTCTGAAATCACACACCAATAATCTTGCATGTTGACATCCAGGTTGCGTAAGGAGTCCATTGGTGGCATTCCTCCCCATCTCCATACAGTCCACTCAGGAACCGACCTCAACTCCTGCCTCCTCTGCGCCCAGGTCAAAGCGAAGAGGGGCCGCAGACAGAGCAGGACACCCCGCTTCAAACAACGACCCAGAGAGCAGACTGTCTTCTCCGTTGGAAGGTAGTAAGACAAACTTTAGCCATTTTGTCAAGTTCAACGTATGAAGAGCTGTAAAGTGAAACATTGTTCTCTCTGTCATTATCTCCCCAGATTTCGGGTGACACACTCTGACAAGAAGCTCCATGGAAGTCCTAACCTATTGGCTTTTTCGGGGGACCAGCTGGACCAGTCCCAAGATAGTGAGGAGAGAAAGGAGGACGGGTACAATCTGAAGAATATGTTTAAGGAAGTCCAACCGCCTTCAGATGGTGCCAATGGTGTTGCTGCAAATGTGGGGAAAAGGAAGAAGAGTGTGACCATATTTGGGCTGAGGCGGGGCAGTGATCCTTTAGGTTTGAGAGTAAAAGACAGGGTAGATAGAGACACTGGGGGGATTAGATTTGCTGTTCAACAGCCACCTGTTGTGCTGGAGGAATCAGTCCAGGCAGTGAGTGTAGAGGCTAATCCAGAACATGATACTAAAGCTGCTGCCAAGCTGAATACTGAGTCTACATCAGCTCAGCATGAAGGTATAACTTCTATTCTCAAAAAATCCTCCAACTCTAACTCTGGTTCCCAGGAAAGTTCCAGGCTTGGCCTGCAAGGAAAAATGGCTGCAGGAGCCTCTGCTCCTTCCTCCCTGCCTGTTTCACCTGGGAAATCTGTAGATGTCGACAATAAAATATTCAAGATTGAAGATCCTGGACCACTTCAGACCTCAACCCCCGTTGACGCCATACCTGCACCAATCCCAGGTTTCACCTCTGTTATGCCCACTGGTCAGTCCCATTTGAACAAAGACCTTACGACTGCCAGAGTTTCCTCTGACCCATGTTCCAGCCCAGATCCAGAACCAGCTGCCAGCAGAGGCCTTGCTTTGATAAGCTTGGGTTCATCTCCTGCATCTTCCTTCCAAGCCAAGACTTTTTCATCTGTCTCATCATTAAAAACGCCAACCTCATCCCTGGCAGAGTCACCAAGCCCCAAAAGCAGCTTAGGAAACTTAACAGAGGCTAGCAAGAGCAAACCATTAGCATCACTTGCCCCATGTTCTTCTCCAACTGCAGCCTCACCCCGTTCAACCCTAAAGTCAGAAAGTTTGACTTCTGTGAGATCTACAACCCATGAAGACATATTTCCAAGTTCTTATTCCACAAAGGAACACAAGCTAGAAGGACAGATTGAAGAAAAGATAGAAATAAAAAGACCTGGAATCCTAAGGACATCCAAACTGTCTCCAGTTGCAGCAGGAGATCTAGGCTCTTCGTTTGAGCAGGTTTTAAACGACAGACTGAGCAATTTACCTTTGACGCCTCCCAGCCCGTTGTCCTCGTCCTCACTTCAAGAAGGGAGAGTAACTAGTGTAACAATTGTTAAAGCCAGTCCTGACAGCAAGAGGGAGTTCTCTGTGGTCACTATGGTGGACAAAGAAGAAGCCTCCTCATCAAACCAGAGGTTGAAGAGTTCCCAAGATGGATTTAAATCAGAGAGAGAGGAAACAAACCCCACCTTTAGAAAGCAAGAACAGATTTTTATTGGTGTATCTCAGACTCAGAGAAAGGAAACCTCAGGAGGAGAAACCAGATCATATCCAGGTCAAGACAAGGATGACATGATGGAGATGGAAGACATTAGAGACTGCCAGGTGACACAGGTGGAAGGAGCTGAGGGGCCGAAAGAGGACACTGACAAGACGTTGGATAACCAATCACAACAAAATCAAGAAGGGGAGTGCCAAGATGATGAAGAGTCTACTGGATCCAGAAATGATCCAATCAGAGAGACAAGAGAAACCACAAACTGAACGACACGAAGAGACAAGTGATCAGATCAATGACAATATACTATGATGAGCATTCTTTTATTCATTTAACCTCAGATGATTGTTTTGGAAAAGTTTTTTTTTCACTTTCCAGCCAATGAGAGTGAAATTGACTCCAGACCTTCATATTTATGTTAATGTAAACGTTATGATTTGTCAATATCAGTTTTGAAATGTGTCTGAACACTGGAGCAACGTTTGTCCACACATGGCTGGCATATTGTAACCTCTCCACAGATCCACACCATTGTCTCCAGGCCTGTACGAGATTTTACATTTCCTGTGCTTTGTTACATATTCACACATTCACACGTTCCATGAAGAGTGATATGGTAGGTCTCCTTTTAATATGACTAAAATGATCCAGTAGGGGAAAATGTTGGGATCCTTTGCTTTAATAGCCTGTTGTCAACTCCTTTCTGTGCTGCTACTTCAGCCACTTGAATATTTCCTGATAGCTTCTTCAAGAAGTATTTGTATCCATTAGATACATTTAGTTATTTCAATTTACACAATTTTATTTTCAATGGAAACACAGCTACTGACAGCAGAGGTTAGATCAAATCATTATGAGTCGCAAGTCTCAAGCGAAGTCCCAAGTAAAGACATTCAGGTGCAAAGTCATAATCAAGTGTTAAGTTCAAGTTCTAAGTTCTTAATTTTTTCTGTCTTACTAAGTCATTTTTACCAAATATGTCATTCAGTTTCAGAGTAACAACACTAGACTTCAACTATGACTACCTAAAAAAAGGTGGATTTATTTACCAAAGCGAGCAAATTTAAACAAATGAGTTGAAAACGGAAATATATTTACTTTACCGCTGATGTTAAGTGTCAGAATGCACATGCATGTTTAATGTATAAATTAAATAACTAAATGCAACAAAAGATGTCTCCCAAAATATAGTCTTAGTTACGTATCTAATTTTTAAAGAAATAATTTGTATTCTGTTTGCGTGTGTGAGAATGAAAACTGAGAGAGGATGGAAGAAACCCAACACTTACATAAAGTCAAAGACATTAACAGAAATGAATCAAACTGCAATTAACATGTTTATGTCTAACTTCATATATATACACTGCTCAAAAAAATAAAGGGAACACTCAAATAACACATCCTAGATCTGAATGAATGAAATAAATATGAAAATAATTTCCACATGATGTCTATTCCATTTGCACAAGAGGAGGTGATATTGATTGTCAATCAGTGTTGCTGTCTAAGTGGACAGTTTGTTTTCACAGAAGTTTGATTTACTTGGAGTTATATTGTGTTGTTTGAGTGTTCCCTTTATTTTTTTGAGCAGTACATATATATAAATAGTGGAAAATCATTTTCTGTTTCCATATTTAAAAACTTTGTTCTCAGTTTTGAATAAATGCTAAAAATCTAAGGTATACATTACATCATAATGAACGAGACAAAGTGTGGGAAGTACATGAATGAGTCTCGAACTTCTGAATTAAAGGAACAGTAAGTGCTTTTATTTTACTGATCAGCCGGAAGTGTCTTTACAAGTGATCATTATTGTCATTATTATGAAGCTACAGGTAACATCAACAGATAGTTATGAGCCATTAACAGACATCAACAGTTTTCCAGAGACCTGAATGTTTATTATTATTATTATTTTAATTTCTTCAGAATATTACAAAGATGTCATCAGTTGCAGATTCTGACACAGGTTCATTTCATTATAAAAAACTCACCACAAACAAAGAAAGATTCTTCTTAGCTATGTCACAATCCTGCTTAAGTCGTCAGAGACCCGACCACCGAGGTCAGACTAACGGCGGTAAAAATGGTTTAACATGCACCACCTTCACCCCAATCGGATGGGTGATTATTGAATTCCCTCCAGGTCAAGTTCTTTATTATATCAACTTATATAATAAGTTTTGTTTGTAGCGAGAAACTGAGCTGCCAATAAATGGATGTAATATAAACTATACCAATAAAATGAACATGTAAACAATTAACAGAGGTTTTTTTCCCCTTTTTCTTTTCTGTAAAACCAACAATCTATGTAGAAGGCATACATTCAACCATACTAGTTCCACTACAGAATTATTTGATTTTACGTTAAAAAGATTTACATATATTTTGTACATAGCACATTAAATATTTTAAAAATTACACATGCGTAACTGCCATTAAATGTAGATTATGCCTTTACTAAAGGAATGTACTGTTATGGGATATTGTTTGTAAAGTTTGGTCAAGAATCAACAATAACTTCAGCTATTTTAGCCAACCATACGATTTTTCAGTCTTATTTTTACCATGTTCATTAATTTATGAATGTCAAATGAAAAATTTAATTAGCCAGATAAATGTTTACTTTGGAAATCAATTTTTTTAGTTAGCCATGTAAATGTTTTATTTGAAGCAAAATATTTAACTAAATATTTAATTAGCAGCAACATATGCAAACTAAGTATTTAATTTGCAGCTAGCTATTTAGCTCTAGGCTAATTATTGAATTAGAAAGCCAAATTTGAAGTTGGCAAGCTAAATACTTTGCTTGAAGCTAAATACTTACTTTAAAGCTAAATATCTAGCTTGAAACTGTGATGTTTATAAAATAATAAATAACATCGTGAAAATATGAGTTTGAAAAACAAACCCTGATTTCTTTTCAGTTATGACAGGTTAAATAATCCAGATTATTTCTATTATTCTTTGACTGTGTAACTTTACAAACATCACTCCATAAATAGTGATGTTTTGGATATTCTGAAAACTGTATTTTAAACAGTGATCCTCATAATATTTCACCTGTTAAAGGGTGTGCAGATCATCATGACATTTAAACATTGCAGAGAAACCTGTATAGTGTCTGTGTTGCAGCTCAACTTTGCCAGTGAGAACACCACTGGTGTCTGCTGAGGCATGAACCATTGCTGATTGGCTCAAAATAAGTCATTATTTCCTGTGAAGCTCAACAGTCCCACGTGGAGCTCGTTGGCGGAGGAGGGGGAGCCCGACACTGAAACCACACAAGGACAGTCAAAGTGTTGGTCCTCATATCTTCTGTCAGCTCAAACTTAAATATATAATTGTCTTATTGTTAAGGTAGGTGTAAGATAACACATACTGGTTTTAATCGATCACTGGGGAACTCTGGAGGAGTGGGGCCTCTAGCGTCAGCCTCTATTGTGCCAAAGACACACAAAGGATTTAGCTGGCTTTGCATATATATCTTGTTCCAGAGGAAACACTGCATCTTACCAGCAACCTGAGACTCTTCTATGTGAACAGACTGCTGTTTGTCCTCCACACCAGCAGGAGGAGTCGCAGTGTTTGCAGAGTTACCAGCAGTCGCTGAGGGGATTGGGATCGGAGGTGAGCAGGCAGGTATAGCTGCAGTATGGAGAGGCTAGACAGAAAACAAAACATGAGAAAAAGAAGAATTCTGGAGCCATTTTTCCATCAGAATCCTGCAGGGCTCCTGCTCACCTCCTTCTCCTCTTTCTCCTCCTCCTCTTCTTCTTCATGCAGGGGCTCCACCAGCAATGACGGGAAAACACCGATTCGCCCATCTAGTTCTCCTTCCCAAAAACCATCATCTACCTAAAAAACATACATTAGAATGGTTTCCGCTGCAACAAAGACCACAGCAGGAGATCCATCCTGCTCCCAACCATCAGCATCTACAACAACTCTTTGAATAAAACTGGGTCATATGAGTTCAAACAACATTTATTTCCCCCCTTACACACCTCTCCATGTAGACAGCGTATGAGACGAATTAGCGCCCCCTCCTGGAAGGAAAGCTCTTCTGCACTTTGAGCTTGGTAGGAGTACAGAGCTTTGACAACACCTAGAACAGATGAAACCAGATTTTAGTCCCATGTTGTTCAATGTAGTGATCAAGAACATGATCACTTCACACACTTTATTAACGACAATCCATAACAAGTAACTTTTTTATTTGAATATTCTGTAAATGGTATTTTAAAAGCTGATCGTCGTAACATTTGGTTCATGGCCTTCTCCCACCTCAGAGCCAACTATCAGGACAATCACCCAGCAGGTTGTCAGGGTAACACCCTGTTACTGTGATTTTAACTGGACAACAAAGTTTTTGTTGAAACCTGGTGAGATTAACATTTGAGAGCCAATCTTACATTAATAGCAGTAATGTCACACAACAATCCCACTTCTGTAGCTTTTCTGTACGTGTCAGTAATAAAAGTAAGGACATATTTAAGATTTTTACTTCCAGCACCAGTAAAGTTGTGAAATTAATAAAGTTTTTATAACTGTGACATGCCAACCCTAGCCCAGCCATAAAGCTCACTTTACTGACCGGTGGCCCCTGCTCTCTCTTTAATCCCTGAGGACGAGCTGGAGCTGAAGGAACTGTCCAGCTGAGCAGCGTCCTCTGCTGGTAGACACTGAAACTGCACATAGCGCTCAGGAACATACCCCACCTGGCCACAGGAGTTACACACCTGGGAAGTGACATTAGCAGATATGTGCATTCGTAACCCGCAGTTCAGTTTTTTCTATATTATATTAATATGAATGTATAAATTGCTGTTTTTGCAACCTTCAGCCAATCCTCCACATCTCCGTCTTCAACCACATGCAGCTCCTCGCCCTCTGTGACCGACAGCTCATCTGACTGGCTCGCCTTCATGAGGAAAACCGATCGGCAGCAAGTTTTATGTTTGAGAAAAAAACATCACTTCACTACACCAAACCAAGAATCTCTGCAGAGATATTCTTGTCCCAGTTTGTCTTGTGTACAATCAGATGTTTGTTTTAAAAGAAAATCAATTAAATTACAAAAATAACTAATGAGCTAAAAACATTTAATAACAGATTTTGGATCTGTTAAATGAGATTAATTATTTACAGACAGATGATTTCTTAATACCAGTAAGAACAGCAAATTATATTAAATTGATCTTTTTCAAACATAATTTTTCCAAAGCACAATTCTGTAGCAGCAGCTCTCCTGGTTACATATCTTAATAAGATGTAAAGCTTTTATGTCTAGAAGTATGATCTGTGTGAAATCCCTCTGTTAAAGTGCAGTCAGTGCTGCTCACCTGATAGTTGTAGACAACTCTGCAGGCTGCAGGATACACACACACTCTAGAGGCTGAAACTGGGTTTGCAAATATGTCCCCATTCTCATCGTCATAGTCCTCAAAGTCAGTCAGCTCAAACTCATCCTCCTAAAAAACAGAGAGAGGAGGGTCAGGTCCACTTAGTGGACATTCTGCTGCCTCTGCGTTAAAATACAACAAGGTACAAAAAAGAATATTAAAATATAGACAGAAAATGCACAATAAAACTATAATAAAAACTAATTAAAACTCATAAAAATGTATTCAGGAAAATTCCCTTTGTCTCCTTCTATTTCTACATTAATCAACAGTAAGATTGCTTTTACTTAAATACTGAATAAAGGATTTCCTTTTCCTTTAATTTTGGAAAGGTAAAGTATATCAGGGGAATGAAGACATTAGCAGAGCTTCTTAAACAATCAAATCTAGTGTTGGATTTGATTATTTAAGCATGTTTAAAATACAGTTTTCAGAATATGCAAATAGAAAGAATCAAATCAACACCTAATGAAGAGATAACATTATTACATGATCTGAAGCTTGAAAAAATCAATTTAACATCTAATACTGACCCTTTTCAGGTGCAGATGTTGTGTGTGTGTGTGTGTGTGTGTGTGTGTGTGTGTGTGTGTGTGCGTGTGTGGGTGTGTGTGTGTGTGTGTGGGTGTGTGTGTGTGGGGGGTGTGTGGGTGTGTGTGTGTGTGTGTGTGTGCGTGTGTGGGTGTGTGTGTGTGTGTGTGTGTGGGTGTGTGTGTGTGTGTGGGGGGGTGTGTGGGTGGGTGTGTGTGTGTGTGTGTGTGTGTGTGTGTGTGGGTGTGGGGTGGGGGGGGTGTGTGTGGGTGTGTGGGTGTGTGTGTGCGGGGGTGTGTGTGTGTGTGTGTGTGTGTGTGCGTGCGTGCGTGTGTGTGTGTGAGACCTTACTGAGAACTCCTCTGTGGACCTTCTCTGCTCGCTGACACGGCGCTCTGTCTCCAGCTCCTCCTCCGCCTGCTTCATGGCGTTGTGGAGCCACTGTTGGGTCCCCGTGACGCTGAGGGCCAGCAGAGCGAGGCGAGCCTCTGCCTTCGCCTTGCTGAGCTGAGAAACCGACACACACCGACACGGGCCAGCCCCGATCAGGACATCACAGCACATTAAGTTCCAGTTTAAGTTTATTAGTAGAGCACATTTCAGCAACGAGGCAGCTCAAAGTGCTTTACGCCATAAAAACATCATCAATTATGAAGAAAGCAGTAATCATTACATATTGTCAAATGCCACCATCAAATGCATCAATCAATGTTTCATTTATTATGAATCAGAAGCAGCTCTAACCAGCTGGGTTTTCAGTCTAGATTTAAAGGAACTCAGTGTTTCAGCTGGTTTTCAGTTTTCTGGAAGTTTGTTCCAGATTTGTGCTGCATAGAAGCTGAATGCTGCTGAACCATGTTTGGTTCTGGTTCTGGATGAAGAGCAGAACCAGAACCAGAACCAGAAGACCTGTGGGGTCTGGAAGGTTGATACATCATCAGCAGATCTTTAATGTATTGTGGTGCTAATTATAAACTAACAACAGTATTTCAAAGTCTATTCTCTCAGTGAAGGACAGTAGAACTGGTTCATGTTCTCTGTATTCCTGGTTTTAGTCAGAACACCAGCAGCAGCGTTCTGGATCAGCTTCAGCTGGAAGATTGATGTTTTAGTCAGAACCTGTTGCAGTAATCAATGCGACTAAAATAAACACATGGAGGAGTTTCTCTAGATCTCACTGACCTCAAGGTCTGATAATGTTGAAACCTAGTATTGATCAATTCCACGTTTTGATCAATACCATTGATTTCTGAATGTCAGAATTTCTGATCAAGTTTGAGATTGCTACTTACAGTCATAGTTAGCTATGAGACACATAGAGGTGGATCAGAAACACTTAAAGTCAATGTGTTTATCTCACACCAACCTTTGCTTTCCTGACAGTCTCTTGAACTTCTGTGATCTTCTGCTCCACACTGAGCCCCGTCTCCCCTGACAACAGCTTCCGTCGACTCTCCAGCATCTCCAGAGCCTGGCAAAGAAAACCAGACTAAACTGGCAGCAAGAAAATCTCCACACATTACTGATGCAGGTGCCTGAACATTCAGTGTTTATTGGTTTTGACTCTTTAAAGAAATGAAAAAGATTTGTTCAGCTGGTGAAGGGGGATGGATGGAGGTAAATACACCATACAGAACAAGAAACCCTAAGAGAGGTTAGTAGAGACTGAGATGAAGGTTCACCTTCCCGCAAGACAAAAACCCTGGTGTTCATGCAATTTGGTTTGATCCTTAGTAGATCAAACCATATTAGGAAGGCCTTCTCAAAGTCTAGACCTATTTCCAATTAGCAATCTTTGCTAAGACCTAAAGTCCAGAGTACACGAACACTCATTATTCAATTTGTCTGAGCTTTTCAGGACAACGTACCAGTCTGAAGACCTGAAAAATGTTAAATGATTCGTAGACCTAAAGACTTGCAGCAATAGTTATGGAAGAGAAAGAAACAATGTATTGTGTCAGGATTACAAATGTATGCCACACTTTTTGGGTCAACATTTGCTATATATTTTTAGAAAAAAAAACTCTTCCCAAGTCAGCACTATTTTGTGGAGTCTAATACACTTTGAGTAAAATTCATAAAGGTTTGTGGTCAGAATGCCACAAAATAAGAAAAAGATCGAGGGGTATGAATACTTTTTAACTTCGCCACAGTGTTCTCTAAAGGCACTCAAATTGATAAGAAGGAAAGCAAAGTTTCAGCGCCTTACATTCTGCACAGTGTAAACAGAAAGGTTGTAAATGTTAACAGCTGATGGTTTCATCCAGGACATGTTACTGTGAATGTCATCTCAGCTCAGATATTAAACTGTTGACATGTGATGTCAGTCATACAGCTACAGACTTCAGTCAGAGATCCACAGCATCACCATCCACTACCACTCTTTGAAGAAACTTACATGATATTTTGGAACTGAATCGTTTCCCTTTGGATTGTTTCAGTTCTGCAGTGTTTCTTCAGATGTTAGAACAACAAGCGGTTGTTTATGGTATTCATGCACTTTTTAATAAAGCGAGCACAAATTCAGCCATGTATTTACAGTTGGACCAGTTGGAAAGACAAAGATAGAGCAATCTTTAACTCCAGAAGAAAAGGGATACAATGACAGGCAAAAGAAAAATCTATATAGGAGAAAGGTTAAAGGTCAAGCACAGAGTTGTAGTTTTGTGTTCTCCTCACCCTTTCCCCATGAGTGGCGATCTTGTAGTCCTTGGCAGCCTTGGCAGCCCATTTCTTGGCCTCCTTCACCAAGCAGCTCTCTCCCTCAGAGTCCTGCATGTCCTGCAGTCCAGTCATCTATGTGAGAAACAAACTCAAATCATTCCTCCTGAGTCCTGAGTCTCAAACTGGGTGCTGTTCCTCTGAGGAACACCTTAATTAAGACTTATTTATTTCCTTAACACTGCTGCAGTAGCCACCGTTCAACCCAAAGAGGACGGCACTAAGACTAACATTGCAAAAGTTTTCAAGGAAATGTTACACTTTGCACAGTACGATAAGGATGTTTCCACCTGTAATCAGAATTGTTACGATAATAATAATAATAATAATAATAATAATAATAATAATAATAATAATAATAATAATAATAATAATAATAATAATAATAATGGAAGTTGGATTGTGGGCTGAGAGAGAAATTTAAAGATTGATTTTTTTAAGGCCCATTTTAAACTGTTTATCTGCTGAAATAATTCTTTGAAGTTTATTTAAGAAAAGATTTCTGGGGGAAACTTTGCTGTCATGGTCCACACGTGTTTGTGTTTTGGTTTTCTTTTGTAATCATTTTTGTTTGTAAGGTTTGGCCATACAAAGTTAATTTCCTGTGTTTTGTTGCTGTCATTAATGCTAGTATGCCAATTGTTTTGAGAACCTTACTTTATCTCTTGTGTTCTGTTCTCTGTGTATTGTGGATTTTTCTCCCTCTGTGTTGTCTGGATTACTCAGTTTCTTCAGCTCAGTTTTCTCCCACAGCTGTTCAACATTCCTCTGGTTAACGCCGTGACATGGCTCCACTATAGACCACTGGAATTGTGAGATCAAGTATTCACACCAGTATGTACTGGAAATCCTGCCAGCACAAACACAAATCGGTCTCGCAGTAAAACTTGAACTTTTGAATATCAAAGTTCTCAAACTCAACAAACTGCTGTGCAGTTCAGACCAAAACAGACATCAGGTCAGTCATGAGGTCCCATTAATTTTACCGTTTTCTGACTGTCATCCAAGACGAGTTTCCATCTGACTGGAGATAAATCTGATTAGATGTGTCTTGGTCTTTAGGCTCCTTTGTCACTGATCACATTTCCTCTGTAAGTTTCCTGATTTTCATTGGTCATTGGTGGACTGTAAAAGACTCTCAGTCAAGTTCATAAGTGCCTCTGTGTTCTTGTGTTTTCTCTAATATGTTTGTTCAGTTCTCTTGTTAAATTCTGTTTCATAGGCCCATATGGTCCCAGTACGCTATCTTTGACAGAAGGAACCCATTTAAAAAAACAAAACAAACCTAAATTCAGTTTCCAGGCAGTTTGAAATCAAATACAAAGGCCATCAGAATGGCTGAATTAAAGATTGATTTTTTTAAGGCCCATTTTAAACTGTTCATCTGCTGAAATAATTCTTTGAAGTTTAGTTAAGAAAAGATTTCTGGGGGAAACTAGTATGCCAATCAGAATGGCTGAATTAAAACAAGTCTGCAAGCAAGAGTGTGCCAAAATTCCTCCACAACAAAGTAAGGGGCTCACTGAGCGTTACCAGCATGACACAGTCTAGGTTATAATCCTCATAGATCCATGTTGGTTTGAATAACTTTTGCTTCTTTAATAAATAAAATCATCATTTGCAAATTGATTTTAGTATTCACTTTGTCTGATATTTAATCTTAAGCTTTTCACTGCCAAACAAGAAAAAATCTGTAAGAAAGCAAAACTTGTTTCACAGCTCCACCAAATCAATGAATGGAGAAGGAGACAAAGTGCAGGAACACACACCACGTCCCGCAGAGCAGGCTGGAAGATGAAATCTGATGTTCTTGTGAAGGAAATGGATTCCTGCAAAAACTGTTGAACATTCCTCTCTCTGGTCACCTGAAAAAAGATAGTGTGCATCAAATTAATTGTCCACTGATCATTTGAAAAACATTCATCCTGCCTCATATGTAATTAAGGTTTTCAGATGCTTTGATTTTGGCTCCAGATGAGAACGACTCAGAACAAATTCTTTTCTTAAGTGATGTGATGCTGGATTTCTCTCTGCAAACATCTCTCCTTTAAGCACTCCAGCACCATATTTATTTTGGCCTTTTTGCCGTTTGGCCCGACTTTGTTTTATTTAGACAGGCGACCTTGTCTTTTCCCTATTTGGCTGCTTCTGCTCTGCTCTCTCTCCTCTATGTGAGCCTTTCTGCTGCTGCATGGGAATGAGGAATGTCTCATGTCTGGAACCAGACAACATTCTGGCATGTTCCACCTGGAAAGCCCCACACTGAAGAAATGGAAAGGCTTTAGTTTAGCAATCCTATAATCACTTTTTCTAATAACCCAAGTTAAAATACAGATAAAATTATTAATAAATACCATATAATATGCAAATTTTTTTATTACATTCCTTCCTTCTTTATTTCAGTGATCCTTTGTCAAAAGGAGCAGTGTTACGTAAAGTCAAATTTTAACATCATGCTTTGATGTTATTCCCTCATCAACAACATGCCTGGACTGTTTGAGAAATCCTATCGTCTCCATGGTAACCATTCAGTTATGTTTAACACCTGGATGGACCTGGTGCTGCCTTCGAGCATGAAGCCCCTCCTCCAAACTGCAGTTTCCAAGTTTTCACCACACAGAGCAGCCCTCCCCATCACTCCCCCACTCAACTCCTTCAGACTAGCTAGGAGCAAATAGCAAACACCTGGTGGAACTGTGCATGCTAAGCTTATTATATGAGCTTTTTCTCAGTGCAACGCTGATAAAAACTGTGTTAAAGGGTTAATACAGAAACCATGTTGTGATGAGTTCCTGAAGATGGACCTTAAGGAAGAGCAGGAGCTTCTTAAAGAGACATGGGCCCAATTTCATAATTAAATTACAAAGTCAAATTTTCTTGAAGCAATTTGACTTTCTTAATGTGGTAGATATCAAAAACGTTGATATCTACAACATTTTTATAACAACTAAAGGTAACACAGTTACTTGATTGTGCTATAAGGTGGCACTATGTGACTCAAAAACAACAATGCTGCCCCTTGCATGGCACTTAAATAAAATTCTGATTCATATTTGACCCCAGAGAATATCCCTCTTTTTATCTGTTAGTTTCAAGATAAGATATAGATAACATAACCATAAAATATGACATTGACATCTGCCAGAAATTATCTATACATTTCTATTTTCTGTTTCCACAGCAGGTGTTGTGGGATAACAGTGTTTTTCTGTGGTTAAATGTTCTCACATACAGTAGCCTACAATGTAAAAATATCTGTATTTCACCATTGTAAAAAGTAAAATTGGGCAAGAAAATCATCTGTAAACTGTAAAACAATTGACAATTTTCGATTTGATGTAAAGCTTCCATACATAAATTAATCATTGAAAAGAGTCTCTTGTACATTATACATTTGTACATTAATTTTGCGGGTTGCTATCATGTTCATTTTTGGGAAAAACATTTTTTTTTTCATAAGTCAAAACATTTTTTTTTTTTTAGCAAAACATTGACTCCAGCAGCATTTTTAGCAATATAATCAACAATGGCAATGGCCAATGTTGGAGTTTTACCATAGAATTTCCAGGGGTTTTGTGTGTGTGTGTGTGTGTGTGTGTGTGTGTGTGTGTGTGTGTTGGGGGCGGCTCCAGCGTGGTTATTGTCTGTTGTGACACACACAACAGACAATAACTGTTGTGTGTGTATATATATATATATATATATATATATATATATATATATATATATATATATATATATATATATATATATATAATATATATATATATATATATATATATATATATGTGTGTATACATATATATATATATATATGTGTATACATATATATATATATATATATATATATATATATATATATATCTATATATATATATATTATATATATATATATATATATATTTATATATACACTTTGAAATGTCACTAAAAGCACTGTACTTTTCAATGAAAATAACTCTAAACCAGTCCTAACTTTAAAGAAAATTTCACCCGAGAGGGCAGGGTTCGAATCCAGTCTGGGTCCTTAGGCAAGACCCTTCAAGCTACTGCCTACCTCATACCATGAGAGATACTAAGTTGCGTAACATGCCGGCTCAGACGTCGCCCGGCCAAACAAGGTCTGCGTCAGGTGTTGGGGAACCAGAGCACCTTGATGACAAATGGGCTACTGGAACAAGACGGAAATGGGCGAGAGATGAAAATGTGGATCTGTTGGAATGCTACTACTCAAGTAACCCTAGTCAGAGGGGTTACATGCAAAGACTGGGGAAGGAATGGTTACTTCGACATCCCCAGTCAACACTAAGCGCTAAACAACTAGTAGCTCAGTGTTCCAACATCCGCAAACGGCAACTGCTATCACAACTTGAGATTGACGAGATACAACACAAATGCTACGGCAAAAGGGAGGAACCCGGATGTCAGGACTGTGGGGACTTAACTACAAGTCCCCACCCAGTGAGGGGATACACGGCCCCAATGAGCGAAACAGAGCTGAACGAGACAGCTGCTGACCTGAGAGAGAGAATCATGACCCGAATGACAACCAGGCCTCCTCGGCGCCAATTACAACGGCTGAGTGAAGTACCATCAGAAAGTCTCATTGAGAATGTGAATGCAGCATTGAGAACGATCCCTACCAGCACCATAACAGAAACCAATGAGCTGATCTACAACTCAGCATCAGTGATCCTTGAGATACTTGGCTATAAGAGCAACCATGAGACCCAATACCCACCATGGAAAGACGGTTAGAGGCTAAAATCAAGGTAACAAGGAGGGAAGTGAGCCAACTGTCAGAGCTCCACAAGGGTACAATGAAAAGACCAGTACCCAGAAAGTACAGGCAGATGCCCATACCTGAAGCACTTGAAACTGCCAAACAGAGGCTCCAAGCCTTGGCCAGCCGCCTAAAGAGATACACAAGGGAGAATGAATCCAGAAGGATTAACCGGCTCTTCTCCACTCAACCAGCTAAGGTGTACTCTCAATGGCAGGGTAATAACAACAGAGCAGACCCACCAAGGCTGGAGACTGAACAATACTGGAAAGGCATAAGGGAAAGGGAGGCTTCCCAAAACAGCAATGCACAGTGGCTGATCTCTCTACGAGAGGATCACAGCAACCTCCCTGAGCAAGCCCCGGTAACCATCACTGTGACAGATGTTCAAGAAAGACTCTCAGGCATGAAAAATTGAACAGCACCAGGGCCTGACATGATCCATGCCTACTGGCTAAAGAAACTCACTGCTCTCCATGAGCGACTGGCAGCCCAAATGAACCAGCTGCTACAAAGTGGGACTCACCCTGAATGGTTAACTGAAGGGCGGACAATCCTAATCCAGAAGGATCCATCAAAGGGTCCAGTCCCACCCAACTACCGACCAATAAACTGCCTCTCCACAACCTAGAAGCTCATGTCAGGCATCATAGCGGCCAAGATAAGCAAACACATGGCCCAGCACGGCACAGAAGGGTATCGGTGTAAATACCAGAGGAGCCAAACACCAACTCCTCATAGACCGCACAGTTGCCCGAGACTGCAAAACCCGACACACTAACCTGTACATGGCTTGGATCGATTACAAGAAAGCCTATGACTCAATGCCGCATACTTGGATCATTGAATGCCTAGAGATGTATAACATCAACAGGATTCTGAGAGCCTTCATTGCAAACCACCCTTGAAGCCAACTGCAAACCACTTGCACAAGTGTCCATCAAATGTGGCATATACCAAGGAGATGCTCTATCCCCGCTACTGTTCTGCATAGGCCTGAACCCCCTCAGCCAAATTATCAACAAGACTGGCTACGAATACCGACTCAAAAATGGGGCCAACATCAGTCACCTCCTCTACATGGATGACATCAAGCTGTATGCCAAGAGTGAGCGAGACATCGACTCACTGATCCACACCACCAGGATCTACAGCACTGACATTGGGATGTCATTCGGACTAGAGAAGTGTGGTCGGCTGATCACAAAGAGGGCGAAGGTGATCCGCACAGAAGGAGTCTCACTCCCACAAGGAACAATAGCAGACATAGAGGACAGTTACAAGTACCTAGGTATACCACAAGCAAATGGCAACCTCGATGAGGCCACAAGGAAAGGAGCCACAGCTAAATACCTCCAACGAATAAGGCAAGTCCTGAGAAGCCAGCTCAATGGCAAGAACAAAATTTGTGCGATAAACAGCTATGCCCTGCCAGTAATCAGATACCCTGCTGGAATAATTAGCTGGCCAAAGGAGGAGATAAAAGCCACAGATATCAAGACTAGAAAGCTACTAACCATGCATGGAGGGTTACATCCCAAATCCAGCACCCTGAGACTGTACTCGAGCCGCAAGGAAGGAGGCAGAGGACTAGTGAGTGTGAGAACCACTATCCAGGACGAAACAACTAAGATCCATAAATACATCAGGGACAAAGCCTCAACAGACAATGTGCTCAGTGAATGTCTCAGACAACAGGGAACGGAGGTTGAGGTGCCAGAGATACCATCATGGGAGGACAAACCCCTACATGGGATGTACCACCAGCAAATAACCCAAGTGGCTGATATCAGTAAATCCTACCAATGGCTGGAAAAAGCTGGACTCAAGGACAGCACAAAGGCCCTCATCCTGGCCGCCCAGGAACAGGCCCTAAACACCAGAGCAATAGAGGCCCAGATCTACCACACCAGACAAGACCCAAGGTGTAGGTTGTGCAAGGAGGCCCCTGAGACAGTCCAGCACATAACAGCAGGGTGCAAGATACTGGCAGGGAAAGCGTACATGGAGCGACATAACCAAGTGGCAGGCATAGTGTACAGAAGCATCTGTGCAGAATATGGACTGGAAACCCCAAGATCAAAGTGGGAAACACCCCCAAAGGTGGTGGAGAACGCCGGAGCTAAGATCCTGTGGGACTTCCAGATCCAGACAGACAAAATGGTAATGGCGAACCAACCAGACATTGTCGTAGTGGATAAACATCAGAGGAAAGCCGTTGTGGTAGATGTAGCAATACCAAGTGATTGCAACATCAGGAAAAAGGAGCACGAGAAACTGGAGAAATACCAGGGCCTCAGGGAAGAACTGGAGAGGGCCTGGAAGGTGAAGACCACAGTGGTGCCTGTGGTCATCGGGGCCCTCGGGCAGTAACCCCCAAACTGGAGCAGTGGCTACAACAGATCCCAGGAACAACATCAGACATCTCAGTCCAGAAATGTGCAGTCCTTGGCACAGCCAAGATACTGCGCAGAACCCTCAAGCTCCCAGGCCTCTGGTAGAGGACCCAAGCTCAGAGGATAAGAACCACCCGCGGTGGGTGAGAAGGGAATTTATATATATATATATATATATATATATATATATATATATATATATATATATATATATATATATATATATATATATATATAAAAAATATATATATTCATATATAAATTATATATATATATATATATATTATATATATATATATATATTATATATATATATATATATATATATATATATATATAGATCCATATATGCATATTTATTTTTTATATATATATAAGTGTGCGTATATATATATATGTGTGTGCGTGTGTGTGTGTATGTGTGTGTGTATGAATATCATATTTATTCATACAGTGAACCCTCATAATGCGTTTCACGGTGTCACTGCTTCACGGTTTTTAACCGTGCAATGTGTTCTGCATTCTGATTGGCTAAACAGTCTCTTCGCTTCTTCGCTACATGTGTGTCAATAATGTTGCATTTTAATATGAACACAGCTTGTAAAACAGCTTGCCAAATTTACGTTTGCAAAGAAAAAAACTACCAATCACTTTATTCTTCTCACGAAAAAACTCACCTGCACCACGGGCTTTGGAAGAAAAAACCGCGACAGAGCGGAGACACGATGCAGCTGCAACACGCGAGTCTCTATTTGTCCTTCTGCACTTTGTATTGTGTTTTCATAATCATTTTGCATTTCTCCCGTTCCAATCCAATGACTCTGGTCGCGGTGGTTCGGTTCTGATCTTCGCAATTTGAAGCCTCTGGTTCGTATTGATGATTCAGATGATCATTTTACAGTACGTTTATTCACTACTTTTATTTGTTAAACAAATGCTTGCGTCTATAAAAAGGTTTTGTTTCATAATATCCATGATAAAATACTCCATGATAAATATCGTGGATTTCACCTTTTGCAGGTTCTTTTTGGAACTAAACGAGGGTTCGCTGTTTGCTATTTATATGTGTATATTTATATATGTCCTCCCTCCGTGTCCTGGCCTCCTACTGGTCCTCCCTGCGTGTCCTGGCCTCCTACTGGTCCTCCCTGCGTGTCCTCGCCTCCTACTGGTCCTCCCTCCGTGTCCTCGCCTCCTACTGGTCCTCCCTCCGTGTCCTCGCCTCCTACTGGTCCTCCCTCCGTGTCCTCGCCTCCTAGTGGTCCTCCCTCCGAGTGGTCCTCCCTCCGACTGGTCCTTCCTCCGAGTGGTCCTCCCTCCTAGTGGTCCTCCGTCCGACTGGTCCTCCCTCCGAGTGGTCTTCCCTGTCCCATAAATGTTAGGTCTTCTGGGATCTTTTTTCTTCTTTTGAATTGAATATTTTTGGCTTCTCTCCAAAGGCACCCTCATCATCTTCCGGACGAGGGGCCGTATAACTGTCGCAGATGTTACAATTTCTCGTAAATAAAAATGAATCCATTCGTGGAAATGTCTTCAGTGCAGTCAGTGAAGTCCACACTGCAGAAATTCTGGTTTGTGGCCTTGGTGATTTGTCCCCCTTTCACTACATAAGTGTAGAAGTGGGTCGGCTCTGATCCCCCACAAACAACGGAAGACAGGTGGTACCTTTCAGTACCACCTTTGCATTTGGCCGGCACATCTACGACCTGACTGGAAACTATCCGGTGTTTCCTGGTCAGCCTGTGGAGGAAAAACACTAGGACCTTATTGTTGGTAAGGCAGTGCTTTCTCTCCAAGGCCGACTCGCACACTGAACAACGGCGTTTCCCCCACACATCCAGCCAGTAATACAAGAGAGTTGCAATGCTGGCTGGAAATCTCACCGGTGGTAGGGAGAGCAGGGAGCCGTTGTTTAGCAGCTCAAGAAACACAGTGCCACAGACAGAGCAAGAGTTGTTGTTGTACAACTCTCTATCTGTGGCACTGCCGAAAGCGTCCAGCCAGACCATGGATGACTCCAACAAACATTTTATATCCAAGTCCCTTCCCAGGTCCGATGGCTGACACCTCTCCCTCAGCTCCATCAACACCGGGGAAAGGTCCTCCGGACAAAAATGTTTGCCGGGGTCATGGACCGCAGAGAGGATGAGCCTCGTCCAACTGGGGATGGACGAAGCCTCCAGAAAGTCCCTTTCCTGAGCGAGACACCTCCGTGTGACGCCCAGGTTCAGGACGCTCTGGAGAGCAGCGTCCACCCAGCTGTAGCGAAGTCCATCCTCCGCTAGTCCATGGCCTACCAATGCCGTCTTCTGTGTCCCTGGGAAATCTGAGCCGACTTCTTCTTCTTTTTTCGTGTCCGGGGGACAATCGATCTCAAGGCCAACGGAAATTGTTGCAGACAGAGTATTTTGATCCAAAACATCTTCCTCGACCAGGGAACATCTTATTGGAAAAGTTCTTGTATACGACAAGCGGAGAGGAGAATTTAAAGGAAGGGTCAGCGATGGGACCAGCGAAACCAAAGCTTTCTCTGTGGCTTCAGCCACAGCTTTGGCCGCGAGGTCAGTCGCAGACAAGTCTTCCCCAGCCGGGGGAGACTTCTCTACAACCGCGCCCTCGCCCTCATGTTCCGCCGTCTCTGAACAAACTTCCCCCGCCGGGTCAGTTTGTTCGTCGACAGTCGGAACCCCCTCAGGACTGTCTGGTACAGAGTCCACCACACCGGTTGTCTGCTCTGAGCAAACCTCCCCAGCCGGGCAGGTTTGCTCAGAGGCAGTGGTGTTGTCCTCTCTACGGACGGTCCTTGAGGGGATAGAGGCCGAGGTCCCACTCACACCCGCTTCACGACAAACTTCCCCCTCCGGGTCGGTCTGTTCTATGGAAATGGGTGTTGGACCCTTCCAGAGCAAATCCTTCTCTCCACGTTGATTGGCGTTTTCTTTCGAATCCTTCCCGGAAAAGTACTGGTCCGTGAGCTTCTGCATGCTGGAGGTAACCGCGTAGCCAATGCCCCAACCGAGGGGGATGAGAAAAGGGACGAATGCTTTAGCTAGGCCAAACATGATTCTGCTGTGTGATTATGATGCTCTACTCTGATGCTCCAGTGTCTTCATCTGGCTGATGCTTTCAGATTCAATCATTTAAGCATCAGAACCTCTTTGATCTATTGTGATGTAAATGTCATCTATGACCTCATCAGTGACCTCACAGGACTTCAGCCACAAGGGCTTGCTTCTGATCGTTTCCATAGCAATGATCAGATGTGTTCTGCATAACTCAAGCTGACATAAAATACTTAAATAAAAAGTAATATTTTTTATTTATTTAACATGAGATTAATAGATTTGTATATGATTTAATTTTAGCATTTGGTCTTAAGCTATTTATTCACTATTATTTTTAATTCTTATTCATTTATCATGATTATTCATGTTTTTTTTCTTTTCGCAGACAATTTACTGATGTGACTATTTTACCAAACATAGGAAACAAAAGCAGAAGAGAGATCTATGTATGAAATTATACATGCTTTTATTGAGTTCCAGAACCCAGAAGTTCTTGGTTTGGGTCATTCAGCTTTGGGGATGAAAGTGCTTCAAGAGTTTGGGTCATGTGCTATTCTGGGATGTAGACGTGTGTAGGAATCCCCACGATGTCAGTAAAACCGAGTGGCATGCCTTAGTAGGTGTGTGTACCTGTGTGTGTGTGTGTGTGTGTGTGTGTGTGTGTGTGTGTGTGTGTGTGCGTGTGTGGGGGTGTGTGTGTGTGTGTGTGCGTGTACAAACCTTAGCAACACCATCCCATATCTTGCTGAACTGCTTGTGCGAGGCCAGACAGGTGTCCATCTCTGTCCCACACAGCTGGATGAAGTGGTGCCTCAAATTGTCATAAATGTCTCCGTCCATTTGCTGGTGAGAGAAACAGAGGAAACCAGACACTTTTACTAGATTTTAATGGTTAAACAGACATTTGATGTATGTTGTACTGCAGTTTATGACAAGAAAAACTAGTCGCGTGCTTGGTTGATTCTTGTGTATCAAATATGAGAAGCCCTTGTCTCCACTTGGTCAGTGTATGAGTTTCTCACCTCCATTAGGAGAGGTAAGTCTTTGGTGTGGTAGTGCTGGTGATGTGAGTTGACGGCTGCAAGAGTCAGCAGGTATTCATTACGAGCTTCATTCAAACGGTTCTCACACTCTTTCAGCCTGGCACTGAGCTGCAAAAACAAGCGCGCGCACACACACACACACACACACACACACACACACACACACACACACACACACACACACACACACACACACACACACACACACACACACACACACACACACATATATATATATAAGAAGTGGAAATCATTAGGTTCACAAGCAAAACCGATTTACTGAGAAAACAATTGAAACCAGACGTTCACAGAGACAAAAGGTACATATATGTTTTTTTTTCTCTCTGACTTAAGTTAAATCAGACCAACCTTTAGCAAATAAAAGTATTTTAGTAATTCTAACCGACCTGAAACAAGAGAGTTCTGGTCCAACTTAAGATCAGACAATGAGAAAAAAAGATGTCTTCCCTTTATGCACTGTATGTAAACTTCTGGTTTCAACTGTAGATGAATCAGGTTTCCACAGACCAAATCAAATTGAATCAAACAACACATTTTAGACCCCATAAATGCTGTAAAATGTGAAGAAAAAAAACCCTGCTACCGCAGGTTCATACCTTAGCAGTCATCTTATGTTGACCTGATTTGAAATGAAAAATCCCATGTTCACTCTTTCTAGTTCTATAAGCAGGTAGAAATGAATACATGTTACAAATGAGTAAAAAAACAATAGGAAAACTGTGTTTGGTCTTAGAGAGAACAAACTTGCATTATTATACCATTATCAATATTAATAAACAGGCTCAAAACAACAGTATTATCATTTGTTGCACTTTTTTGTGGGACAAGTTGATGTCCAGCAAAATGTGTTATTGTGACAGGCCTGAATGCTGCATTACACACATTACAGCCAAACTGGAGCTTTTATGATGATAACAGTCCCTTAGCTTTTTGGATTCATATGTAAAGAGAACATTTCAGATCATATAAACCATATACATGTACAGGATTTCCCCCCAGAAAACCTGCTTAGCCCAATGGTACAGACACTGCGGTGATTCACTACCATGTTTTTGTTTTAAAAAAATGTTAAAAGTTAACAAAAATTCAGAGGTGCAAAAGTCAGCATCATAATTTGGAAAAAATAGCATCTGAGGCCAACAGGCAGATGCAGGGAAAGCTTGTACAAGCTGTTACTTGTAAAAACAAAAAACTAAACAAAACAAAAAACAATATAAAATAAAACATTTAGCCTGGTGAAGAACCAAGTAAAGTCTAATGGCCCACCAGGTTTGTAATAATGTTTTTCTGAAAGTCTGACCTCGTCTGAGCGTCAGCCACTTTCTCTCTGGCCATGCCGGCGATGTGACTCAGATGGTGGTAGTTCTTCTTGACCCTGTGCAGTTCACGCAGCGTGTCCACCACCTCGCCCTGCACCCTCTGCAGCTGCTCCAGAACCTGCAATGTGATGTTTCCCCATCATTGTTTCTTAGGGGCTACTTCGCTCTGCTAAATGATCCACAGTATAAGGTTCGCATGCCGTCTCACTCGTTTGGCGCGGATCTCCTTGGCGTTGTGGATGCTTTTGGAAGCGTCTCCAAAAAGCCGACGGTATTCTTCTGCAGCAGCGAGTCGAGAGGCGGCAGTCTGAGCTGTGGCGTCCACCACCGAGCGCCACACTCCAAACACACTCCTGAAAACACACACACCAGCAACAATAACTTACACTCATGCAATATACACACAGAAAGTCACTAAATCAGAACTTAAATAAGGTAAGCCTCACTGTGGGGCCAGCGGAAAGAGGCTTGAAGCAACAAACCGGTGTACTTCCAAATTAATATGCATCGTCCCTGCTTTAATTAAATAGATTTGAATATATGGGCATTCAAGTAAATTATTAAATAAAGCATTAATTACATATACTGTTAAAATAATGTGTTCTCACATCTGTTCTGTGCAGACATATTCAGCAAAAATACAATGGATTTCCATTATATTACTTATTAATCTTTGTGCCATAATCATGTTTGCATTAGTCATGTTATTGATTTAGTACCTTAGGAGCCTGAACAATGGGAATAAAGTATAAAAATAACTTTGTGATTCTGATAATTCACCAAAAACTTTGTTCATTTTCACCGTATTAAAAATGAAATATTTTGCTAAGTGAGACAGGATGGAGGTAGTCAGTTTTTCTTACTTTTGCTGCTCATTGTGTAACATAATCAGACACCAATGGCTGCATAGTTTACAACAACCATGTTTATCCCGTGTGGGGAAAATGACCCACACAGGATATTCATAACAAGACGGAATGAAAAAGTGTTGTGTGAATAGTATCTGTGTGTGCGTGTGTTCGTCACCCAGAAATCACAGTGTCTGTATTTCCTCTCTGCCAGTCTCTCTTCTGGTACTGGACAGCTAACCTCTGAAGAGCCTGAAAACGAGATAACCTCATGCATAATAACTGTTTTACACAGGTAGATGCATTATTTATGCCACAAAAACAAATAAAGTTATTTTAACTTCTACTAGCAACCAATCCACCCACCACCATCAAAATAAATACATGTATAATAAAGCTTGGCAGGAAGTATGTTTTCCATCTTGATAGTTTTATCTGATGTTTGAGTGCACTAGTTTAATAAGTATTGCATAACATTTTGTTTTAATAATCTGATCTCAAGAATCTAAATTGCATAAAGAATTAGGATGTGTGCCACACAGCAGGGAAGACACACGTGCCTTCACATGAAGGTGAGCCATTTCTCACACACGAGTGTGTAAACATTTCAGGAAACTGGAGTTCAGCCAGGAAGCTGAAAGCATGCCCAATCAAAACCCTCCAGGTCCTGGTAGATTTTATGAAGAATTCTGGAATATTCTGGCAGGAAATGGGGGAAATTAACAGATTTCTGCCAAATATTAATTCTGCCAACAATAGTCTCCTGCTAAAACCAGGAAAGGACCCAAGTGACAGATCCATTATTAATGTTGATCTTAAAATAATCTGTAAAGCCCTCAAAAAAAGACTGGAGATGGTATCTGCTCTCATAGAACAATAGATGCATGATGCAGCTGTTTCAAACCTGCACTGTCACCAAATGTCTCTATTTATTCTTTTAAACCTTAGCCAAAAAACAGCAGCTGGATTTTAAAACTAAGGTAAGGTCATGTGTGTGTTCCAGGAATGGTGATCCTTAAAAAGTCAATTTATTAAGTAATATAAATCATCAGTAAGATAGATATATGAATGAATTGTATAATAAATCATATGTAAACACAAAAAGGAAAATTTATTTGGAAAGTTTTTGCAGATGTTAATCCTTACAAGTTACGTGCTGAAAAAAACATTCCATGGCATTGAAAACACTGGAAATCATCATTTCTCTAATGAGATATTTATGACAACAAAATCTCCTTTAATCTCCATGACAACCATTCAGCTGTGCAAAATGCCTGGGTGGACGTAGCCCCGCCTTTGAGGATGAAGCTCCTCATTGAAGTTGCTGTGTCTGAGCTTCTTGCTTGTAGAACCCCATCAACCCTATCCTGCAACTTCCTCATCCAGCTCCTTCAGACTAGACAGCAGCAATTAGCAAACACCTGGTGGAACTGTGCATCTGCTGAGCTCAGTGCAACACTGGTAAAAATGTTGTTAAAGGCTTTCTAGAGGAGCCACATTGTGATGGGTTTCAGAAAGAGCAGGAGCCTTTAAAGATACAGAGGCTCAATTTTAAGGTGTTAAGCTCAAAAGTCACATTTCTTTTAGGTCATATTTGGTATCTACAACATTTTTTATAACAACTGAATGTAACACAGCTACTTGATTGTGCTATAAAATGGCAGTACGTGGCTGAAAAACACAATCTGCTCCTTTAAAACCTCAGCGTGAAAACAAAGGTGAAACTCACACACTCATCGCACTTAGTAAATATTTTGGGTGTGTCAACTTTTTGTCAGGAAATGCATTTTTGCTTAATGAACAAAACAGGGTTTATTTTTGCTGTTTACTCACAATGAAATCATTTCTTTTCCAGTGATAAATGAAGACTAGACTAAAAAGCTGGATATTTAATGAGGCATTCTTTTTTTCACGTCTACAAAAGTAGCTGTAGTACTGTGCACTGCTGTGCAAAACTAACATTCACAGGTGAGCTGAAGCTAGAAACCATCACTGTCTTGTTCCTGACAGCAGGGCCCAGTAATGTCACAACAGAAGCAAATATAGAATAGGAATTCAATAAAGAAGATGCTTCCTAGTAAAACCATAAAAGGTGCCAGTAAACGGTCCAGCAGTGGACTGAAATAGAACATGTGTCCTCACCTGAGCATACTCCTTCTCTATAGCCGCTCTCTGCTTACTGAAGGACCTTGGGGAAAACAGAGACAAACAGAATATGACACTGTTTCAATTGAATGTCAGTATTGATCTGTCAGCCTATCAGTGATCCTGTTGGAGGGCACGTGGGGGGTAGAGGGGGAGCGGCAGGGTTCATACAGATATCCCCCAATCTGTGTTATGATCCACCTGATCTCGTCCAGCAGCTCGGTGTCCTGGTGCTGTTTGGACTGCAGTTTGCTGAGCTGCTCTGAGAATAGCAGCTTCACCTGCTGGCTTTCCTTTACCTGCACACAGGTTCAGAGATGGGTGTGGTGGAAAATTACTACAAGTTAACATCTGCTGATCATGTTATATGAAACTCTCACCAAAACACCACAAACTAAAGTGTTGTCTCTGTCTTCATTATTGATTGTCCTACAAGCTCTCTGTATTGTGCACAATATATGAATAAACCTGATTGAGTGGTTTCCCGTTTTCTCATATCCACAACTTCACAGAGATAATCCAACTCTTCATACATTTTGTCAGTAGAATTTAAACATGGACGACAAAGGGCTTATAAAAGCTTTTTTGTAGTTTGACCAAATTATAATCTTTGTTAATATGTCATATATCTTGGTATTTTAATAGCATTCTTACCAAACAAAAATATTTAGCAGCTACAGGTTAGACGGGATGTGTATCTGACTATCAGCCTTCGGACCCAGATCAGCAATTCCAGTTGTTGTCTTTTTCTGCAGGTGTGGGAGCCGTCTTCTGGGATGTGGACTTGGTTTCTCTGCTTCTTTCTTTCCTCTTATCTTTGGCTCTACCTTTAAAACTTTTCCCCACTTTTTCCCCTTTGCGTTCTCCTTTATTTACCGTCTGCATGTCCATTACATTTGAGCCCAAAGTGAGTTGATGTGGTTATACTGTTTAAAGGCAGGTTGCACTGTGGTGCAGTTGGTAGTACTGTTGCCTTGCAGCAAGAAGGTCCTGGGTCACACACCGGAGGTTCGGGGTCTTCTGTATAAAGTTTGCATGTTCTCCCTGTGCATGGGAGAACATGCACAGGTACTCCGGCGTCCTCCCACAATCCAAAAACATGACTGGTTAATTGGTTTCTCCCTACTTGTGAGTGTGTGTATGTGTATGGTTGTTTGTCCTGTTTGTCTCTGTGTTGCCCTGTGACATTCTGGTGACCTGTCCAGGGTGAACACCACCTCTTGCCCAGAATGTTAGCTACAGATAGGCACCAGCACCTCCCAATCCCACTAGGGATAAGAGTGTTAGAAAATGGATTGATGGATGGACTGTTTAAAGGACTGCAGTATGTGCAACTCCATTCCGATATTATAAATGAATAGTTCAGTTAGTTTTGTTGTGCTCTCTCACTCCATTATGCAATGGTGCCAGCTAAAGCGATAGCGTGTTTTACAATGCATGACCAGCAGAAACCACAAACAGTGAGTTGTGAACTTTCTCATCATACTAGCCTGGCTCTTATGACTCCTCCTATGACTTAAAGAACAGACTCGCAGCATCTGCTTTGCCGTTGCTAAACATCCTGTTTACGATGACCCAATTCAAGTGACGTATGAGTAGATATGGAGAAGAGGTAACTTCTTCCTTCCTGCCCCCCATGGCAGAAGAGTTTTCACATGTCACCAGCCTGCCACAAAGAACAGCGATGGCGCTATGCTAGTGCTAACAGGGCACAGATTATCCTTGTAGAGACCATGGTCTGTGTTAATGATGTGAATAGTCGGCATGATAGTGAAGGGAAACGAGCGGCAGGTTGCTGTGTGTTTGTGGTCAAGAGAGAGCAGCTGAAAAACCACCTAGTAACATTTGATATTGATAGAAAAAGAGCAGTGTTTATTAAAGTGGAACCTCCTGATTAACTTGAACTGCACTGAAGTTTAGTGCAGCAGGTTTAATTACTGAGTCATATGGAAACAGAGAACATGGTGATAGCAGCTTAGCATGTCCACAGTCAGCAGGAGGGAGATGGAAAAGGATATCTAGAAACAAACCATAAGAAAACTAAATATTTAGCTTCCAAAGTAAACATTTAGCTCGCTAAATAAGTGTTTAATTTTGAAATGAATCAATTATATTGCTAACTAAGCATTTAAATTGGCATTAAATATTTAGTTTGTAAGCTCTACTAGTTTGCTAAGTAAATATGTAGCTTGAAACAGTGGCATTTATAAATGAATGAATGGCATGCTGAAAATAGGACTTTGAAAACTGAACCTCCTTTTCTTTGTTATGACTAGCTAAATATCCAAAATTGTCGCTGTTCGTTTTTGTTCACTCCACCCAATAAACAGCAGCTGCTCAATATATTATAGATTATTTTCACATCAAACCAATCTGACATATTCAGAAAGCAGTTGAAGTTCCATTGGTATTTAGCTAGATGTATTTATTTATGTTTGTGGTGGTAGGGCAGAAAGACACTTTCCCTGGTATCACTTTCAAACCAAAATCAGATTTATGAAAACATTTTTGTGAGACATGCCAGCATGTAGCTTCCTTTCATTTAGCATACTGTAGAACACAGGTGTCAAACTCCAGTCCTCAAGGTCCATGTCCTGCAACTTTTAGATGTTTCTCCTCTGCACCACACCTGAATAGAATAATTGGGTCATTAGCAAGGCTCCGGAGAACTGATCTACACAAAGAGGAGATAATTAAGCCATTTCATTCCAGTGTTTTGTAAATGTGGCACATTTAAAAACTGCAGGACACTGGCCCTTGAGGACTGGAGTTTGACACCCCTGCTGTAGAAGAAGTCCGAACAATAACCTCCACTTTTAATCTGTACTGCCCCCTTTCCTCACTAACATGACTATTTTCAGACATGAGAAAACATTTTACAGAAAAAGATCAATATTATCTCATTTAATGTGAATATAGTCAACAGAGTAAATTCATGAAGATATTCTTGAAACAGATTTTACTGGACATCAGACATCTGATTTTACAAAGTTTTGATGCTAACTGAACAATATTTCTAATGAACTGTTTCAAGAAAAGCTGGGAGGGCATTCATTGTTTTCCCCCAAAGAGTAAACATTTCAAATATTACAAATACGTTGCTGTCACACACAGGAACCTAATGTCAGCTTTGTTTAATGATCAAGGAATGGCCTTAAAATAACGGTTCAATCTGTTCAGATGTGATCCAAGTCAAGCAAACAGAAAAGTGAAAGTAGGTTTTAAAGTGAGTGAATATTCAGCCATCCTTCATCAAACCCTCTTACCTTCCTGGGTGGCGGCTGCATGCTGCGGTCGCTGCTTCAGGGTCTGCCTTTATGGAACTGTCGTAGTTTGGGTTAGCTGCGACTTCCTCAGTAGGTTAACCTAACAGTTTTGTTAGCCCTTCACTCTTTCCTCCCTCTCTTCCTCTCTCCCTTTCTTTGTCACTGTGTTATTTGGAAAGAATCCCGTAGAGGGCGCCAAAGACCAGCAGACGCAGCAGAAGCAGAGGCGACATCTTGAAGCTTCATTTTCACTGCCAAATTCAATTTCTGCTGGCCCAACAAACATTATTATTTTTGTAAAATAAGTGCCGTATTGACCAAAATATATATTTAATATGAGAATTACCAGCCTGGCCATCGCCTTCCTTAGCAATTTCGCTCGAAAAAGATCTCGCTTCCAACAGTCTGGACTTCCTCCCATAGACATGAACACGCTTTCTCCGCTTGACTCGTATTGTTCCCGGTTGATTTTTGGCGGGGCCAATCAGCGAACAGAAGAAAAAGTTGAGACAGTCTATATAACACCCTGGCATTCTTGTCTTGTCTGTTTTGTTACTTATTTGTATTGTTCTTTTTGCTGTTTTATAAACCCCTTTATTATCATGTTGAAATAGAATTTTAAAAGTAGCACAATAGTACATAAGTTAACTTTTACGTTAAGACAAACTTAGATAAAAATCCAAACTAAAACAACTGGCCACTCTAAAAGTTTTACATGAATTGTATAGGGAGGATCTTAAAGAAAGACAGAAGAAACACAAACCCTTTGAAACTCGACTCTTTGGATTTTCTTCTCTTTAGACAGGGCATCTATCTGCCAGACAATTAACAAATTCCTTAGCATGGTTCAAAAGTTCACTAGGATCTTAAAACTTTTCATAAATAATTTTATCTATATTAGAATTAAATATATTTCTTTAAGCATGTTTTGAATTAGTTATTTCTTAGATCCAAACTTATAGTCATTATTAAGCAATACATTTTGTGCGAGTTTGTTTAAAAAACACCAACTGGTTTCTTGTTGAATCATTTTGAGGCAGAGATAATGCTGCAGCTGCACGTCATATATCACAGTCTGGCCAGAGACTGATACGAGAAGAGCTGGGTGTTTCAGTGGGTCTCAGAGGTAATAAAATTAACATTTAAGACAGCCCACACAAAGGAAAAACACACCTCCTAATGCATATATTTAAATGAGGAGAATACACATTTTTATAAAATGGTTTGTTTTACAGCAGAAGTTCGAATCTCTTTGTGCTGAGTGAGAGTTTCCCAGAAGATGCATCTTTTGTTTGTTTCTGTTTCCCTTTTTACTCAGTTAATTGTTTCTGTTTTGTCATGTCTTGGACTTTTGATGATCTAGGTGAGATGCTTATTGTAACATTCTTCTTGCATTGATTTTCTCTGGATAAAACTCTGGATATCTGAAGTCTGATGTCGTATGATTGCTCTTTCTCCCTGCTTATATATACAGACACAAGAATTCGGGACAAAGAGGAATGAATTAAAGAGCTAAATCAAGTTATTCCTCTTTTTAATTCTCAACAATTAATAAAAAAAATTAAAAATAAACAAATAAATAATGAAGCCGTTCAGTCCATGTTTGCCAAATACTGAAACAGCTGCTTTATCTCACCCAGACCCACTCTATGAAGTGATGTGTTTTTACAACAATACATATTTGATAACTTTGGAAGTCCGTTTCCGCCACTCTGTTAAAAAAATAAAATAAAATAATCTCATTATAATGAGATACTATCTCATTATAATGAGATACTATCTCAAAATAATGAGATAGTATCTCATTATAATGAGATAGTATCTCAAAATAGTATCTCATTATAATGAGATTATTTTATTTTATTTTAACAGAGTGGCGGAAACGGGCTTCCATAGATAACGTATGAAATTATTTTATTGATGAAAAGAAAAAAAAAATGCTCTTGGGGTCCCCTGGTGGCCGCGGAAGGTACCGCACACTTCGCAGGTGACGACCTGCTGTGCAATGTGCAGAGCATCCAAACGTCCAAAGCTCCGGTCAGAAGTTAAGTAAGCAAAACAATGTCTCAAAAAGAAACTTATCCTCCAGGGAGGGAGACTGCCGTACAGGAGACATAAAAGACTCACCTGGTATAAATTCTATTTTTAGCTATTGCAGTCAAGCTTAAGAGAAATGTATTTATTCAAAGAATGTCATCAATATGTGAGTAGAGCTGCACGATTGCAGTTTTCGGGCCGATCCCTGGTTACCGATTTTAAAAAGCCTGACCTGCCAATTTTGATTTTGTCTGAAATGTTGCTAAATATAGCAAGAAAGTCACTGAGTTGGCAAAAATAGGGTGAATGTTGTAAACATTCAGACCTGACCTGGTGGGCTGGTCTGTCAGTCAAAACCTCTCACTGTAGAGCAGAAGAGGAAAGAGGCTAATTTTTAAACCTTTGCTGACAAAGATGTGGGATAAGAAGGGCTTCACATGTCAGCATCGACAGATAACGATCCCCCAAACTTAAGGAAATCAGCGCCCAGAAATCAACTGATAAATCAGTTGGTCAATAAATGTATTCTATGTTATACATGTACATGATGTAAACAGCACTGCCGGAGATGCAATAAGTTTATAGCAGGTGTGTGAATGATCTAATGATCAGACTGCTGATCCACATTGTTAGAACCAGAGGGCCCCAAAACCAAATTTTGCTTAGGGCCCATGGAGGCGTAGGCCGGCCCTGCCGTCACCTCACCCAGATTTTGGGCCTGATCATTAATTTCTAGTTGTAATAACTGAGGTTGTAATAATTAACTTTAGGATTTAGTTTTGACTCCATCCTTGTTCTTTGTGACTGACGATTTAAGAGCTATTTTGCCTTCACCTGGTAACACATGTGGCTTCAATCAGTGACTAGTCAGGATAGCGTAAAGCAGAAATATACACTCACAAAGAGGATACATTGTTAAAGATTAATTTATTCATGCACAATAAAATAACACTTCAGGACCAAAGTAACACAACAAATTTCATACAAAGTAAAGAAACAAGGGAACTGTTCAATATGACCAAACTGGAAGGGGATCCTTGCATATTATCTCAATAAGACATCAGTATGATGTTAACTTTCAGTTACATGTTTAAATCACATAAGTTCAACACTTTTCTTAACATATATAAATACACAAAACTAAAGTATAAAAACTCAATATGCGTCTGCAATATATTCATAAATTAATGATAAATAAAATAAATAAGTAAACCCTTTAACATCACATAGCACATACCATGATCAACTTCATAATGTTACATTTTACAAATGTACTGTTTTATACTGGCATAGTGTTTGATAAACCGTACTTTTTGGAATAAACATCTCCTGGTTAATTATAAGAAAGTACTGATAATATTCAGAATACAGTCACAAACTAATAGAGACATTCCTTCATCACTTCTTTAGCTAGATTACTTCTTTCTTTGTTTTAGTCAGAATCGTTTGACCAGATTGGTTCTTCTGACCTTAAATAATAATAATAACAAAAAATAAAAAATAAGGAAGAAACTGGATTGATTGTAAAAAAAAAAAATAATGACAATAATATGTTTAACAATGAAAGATTGATTGTTGCACAGAAAGGATAATTGTAGGAAGGTAGTCGGGAGGTTTCAAATGTTTCCCCAACATTCTGAGAAATATATCGATGCCCAGTTTTTATGAGATTAGCAGTGATCCCCAAAACTCTGAATCTGATGGAACTGCATTCTGGTCTGAATTAAACGTTGCATTTCTCTCGGAACTTCTGCAGCAGGTTTGTCAGTTTTTCATCCAAACCTTCTAGTGAGGTGATGGGAGCAGAACTCTCAGTTGTGTTTGCACAGTACAGGTTCACCTACAGGGAGAAACAGCAGTTAGACCCAATGCTGCCATTTTTCTTAAATCGTGTTTCCCAAAGCTATAAAGCTATGAAGCCTGTTCTGTTTTCTTCTTGCATGATTCCTTCCCACTCATAAGGTTTTAGCTCCTGCTTCCCTATCTGTTTGCTACATCATGTTGAAATCCAGTGGTTTCCTGGCAAGTATGTTATTTTTAATTTTGAACCTTTCCAGATGTGTCTACAGAACAACCACCGAATGAAAATGTCAGTGTAAAATGCTACTCGTTCCGAATGGAGACAGCAAGTGTGTCATAGTTACTTACCAGAACTGGGCAATCGTTAGCGATATTCAGCCTGCTGATCAAGTGCTCGATGTGTCTGACATCAAAATCGTTCTTCTGTAATTTGCATTCTGTTAAAACCAGGCTGAGCAGGTTTCTGAATTGACTAGGAAAGGCACATGTCTGCACAGAGGGAGAAACACGATGTTATAAAATAAACTCACACACAGTTTTCTGACACCTGCCAAGTTGTTGGACCACAAAGTTGCCACTGATCCCAGACTACTGCAAAGCTCTTTCATGATGTCACTTAATATTTGGGTCATTCCAAGGAATTTCAGCTTTCCATCTGGGTGCAGATTTAACAAAAGGAACATTTAAAGTGTAATCTTTTTTTTATATTTATTTAAATTTTTTCACTGAATCTGTACCTTTATCTGTTTCAGGCACAACAGTGTCTAATAAGTGAAAGCAGTAAATCTGTGGTAAACGCTTCTAGAAGAAAATCCACTACATGTATAAATGCTCGTGTTTCAATCATCCATAGTTTCGTTAATATCTTTGTATAACTCTTTGAAGAATTTTGAATGAATATGTGTGAAAGGCTAAAAAATGAAATGGAACCCTTACCTCCTGTGATGAAGAGAGGCGGCTTAGTGATGAATTCTGCAGGAAAAAGCAAAAAGGCGTGTTACTCATTACTGCATGAAACCATCAAATCGCTCCCAGAGAGTGCAAATGCTAACTGTGTAACCACAACGCAAGTCTTCATCTAACTGCCTCAGCTGGTTCATGTGTGACAGCAGCAGAGGAAAGAGGAAGTGGTGAAAGCACGGGGATGCTGAGCCTCTCTGGTGGCCCTGCACATCAGCCTCAGCCGCATGATGCAGACTGCTCATCTAGCACTTTTTAATTCTTCATGATAAAATGAACATTTCTAGCAGGATCAGCTCTCCTAATTCTCTATGGTGCTGCTGTGCTTTCTGTACACATTGGATCATTTTAAAGTCACACTGTCTTAAAATAATTGTTACTTTTTAAAGTCCCTGTTGACCTCGGCAGAAGTTAACAAGTTAAACACTATATTGAAAAGTTATTTCAATATAGAAAAGTTATTTTTAATATTTCAAGTTTTTTAAAAATATATTATTATTGAAGCATGGAGTCTTTTCAAAATCAGACTGGCATCCGTATATCAGCTTAAAGGCAATGGAGAGTGCAGAGAGTAGGATTCTTAGATCAGTTTAGCCCCAAAAAGAAACTGCTATTTCCAGGGCAATCATAATAAATTTTAACTTTGCATTTTAAAAAAAATCAAACAACAGATTCAGGAGTAAAAAATAAATAAATGTATCGGTTGTACTTACCAAGTTGTCACACCCAGGGTTTTTCTGTCAAGTCAGAAAAACAGGATTAGATACATCAGACCAGAAGCGTTACAACCAAAGAAGAGCTGAAGACAGTGAAGCAGCTGTAGTGACAGTTAACTGACAGCATTCAAAGTTATCTCTGCATCGCTGAACCCACACACACACTCATCTGCTCTCTCAGTGGCTGACATGACGACCAGAATGCTACATCTTGTCAGTCAGTCAGATGGTGAAGTGCATCTCTTAACCCAAAGCAGAACTTTGCACCCAGTTCCTGCTGCCTTCATGACGCAGAGCACAGATATGTGAAGCACGGCGTTCCCAGTGTCTCCCTTACCTCTTTCAGATCCCTTAGTCCAGCTAAATTCTTCTGAAACTCCTCAATACCAACGTCCTTACAAGCTGTGACATTGCAAGTGATGGTAACAGGAGCAGCGGATGTCTGATAAAAAGAGATGAAGAAAGGCAGCAGCAGCAGGACGCTCAGTGTCCATGTGGAGGTAGATGATCCGGCCATGGCTTGCAGTTAGACTCAGCTTCTGTTCAACGTCCAGATGATAAACTTAAAACTAAGCTTTTGCCTGTTGTACTTCTGTTATCAACTTGGATTTTGTCACTATAAAGATCCAGCTAATGCAAGGTTCTGGTGTTCTGATGCTCTTGTTGCATGGAGGTTCTGCTGCTGCTTTGTCGATGGATAGGTGACAATTTGAGGGCCTTAAATACAAACAGGTTAGGTCTTTTCCTGACCTGTGGGGAATCCCGACCCATGTTGTCCTTGGTTCAATCACTTTCATTCAGAATGTTTCCACGCAGGATGTCCTTAGTCAACAGGACCCTGACACTATGGCAAGAGAGCTGCACTGTCAGCCACATATCAGCCAAATCTGACTGATTATGACTGTTGCGGCATTTCCTCACCTCTCTGAAAACATGGCGGCCTGTGCACAAAGGAAAGTCAGAAGCAGACATTTTTTCCTGCTGCTTTGCGGCCATGAGTGGGCAGAGTTCCCAACCAGGTAAGACTCCGACATCCACAATGACGTCGAGGGCAATCCCAGGCAACAGATCCTCCACAGATTTTGACACCTCAAATGATTCAATCTTTAGGAATGCAGAAAGCTCCTTCATCATATTGTTTCCAGAAAAGAACATATTTTATCTAAGCCGGTATTAAATATGTTTTTTAACATGTGTATCAGTGTCACTGATAACAAAAGTGCCATGTTTCTATTTTGTTGCTTTTCTGGAACGCTCTGTGCCTTTATTGCTCTTGTTTTCTATTGCACAATGTGCTCTTGGTGGGAAACAATATTTAATAAATTCTTCTGGTGAAAAGATATCAGAAGAAATAAAAAGAAATTAATGTTGAATCTTTTTTCCTCTACTGTTGCTACAACTGCTGCAGCACATAGGCAGACACACAGGATCAGGCTTGGGATTGAATTGTAACTGACTTCGGTCCCAACATGGAACTGTCAAACCCATTTTCATTTTGAGCCATATCAAGATTATGAAGATCCTCCAAGGACCAACAGTGGCTCAATGTATTTATAAAACCCAATTACAAACCATTAAAATATCAACTGGTATACTGGTCTCAGCACTTGATGAGTACTTCTAAATTTAATAATATTGAACATCTTTTCATAATGATATATATCAATAAAAATGTCTTTGATTTGCTTTCTAACATTTTATTTAAGCATATAAAGTTATATTTATGTGTCCCTTTAGAGTCTAGAGGGCCATTAAAAAGCTGTAGTGGGCTGGATTTGGCCCCCGGGCCCTGAGTTTGACACAGTGAACCCTTCCTCTAAGTGAGACTCAGCAGTCAATTAAATGAACATCCTGAGAATGTACACAATTTGTTCTGCCAAAAAAAAAAGAACACATTTAATACATTTTACATTTCAACATTATTTTATTGTCAATTAATCAAGCTTCATTAATTTTTATCAGATATCACTTTGCAACAGCGTCTTCACAGGTCTGTCCAACAAATCAATCCTCCAGCTGCAGCTGATCCAGACGCTGCTGCTCCTGTTCTCACTAAAACCAGGAAGATAGAGACATAACAGCAGTTTTACAGTCCCTCCACTGGCTCCCTGTAGCTCAAAGAATAGATTTTAAAATACTGTTGTTAGTTTATAAATTACTGAATGGTTTAGCACCACAATACATCAAAGATCTGCTGTTGTTGTATCAACCTTCCAGACTCTCAGGTTCTGGTTCTGGTCTGCTTTACATCCCCAGAACCAGAACCAAGAGAGGAGAAGCAGCTTTCAGCATCTATGCACTAAAAATTTGGAACAAACTTCCAGAAAACTGTAAAACAGCAGAAACCCTGACTTCCTTTAAATCTCAATTAAAAACACACCTGTTTAGAATTGTATTTGAAATGTAATGTGTAACAATGTATTGTTTATTCCATGATGCATGACTTTGTGTTTTTGTGTTTATGATGTAAAGCACTTTGAAATGCCTTGCTGCTGAAATGTGCTATACAAATAAAAATTGATTGATGTATTGCTTGGTTTTAATCTGCTGTTGATTTTACTGTGTTTCTCATGTTATTTCTTTACGTTAGTATCAGCTGGGGAAGTTGTTACAGTTCAGGTTCAAAAGGATGCAGAATTCCACTCACAGAAAATGTAATAAGCACATTGGCTTATTTTCTAGTGTTGCTTTTGTTGATAAACATGAAAGAAAAGTGTGAGAAAAATTCCCAGCCCTTTCCCCACACACAGCCTTACACTGGAGATAGAGAGAAATAATCGCCCCCAAAAAAGTCCTTTAAAGGTCACTTTTTGTTTTTTCCAAGCAGATGATATTGTTGTCTAAAACAGTCGGGTTTTCACAAATTTCCACATCAAGCAGTGTAAGCAGGGCCTTGCTGCAGCCGAGGAACACATTCAGACTGTAACTGAGATGCAGCAGATTACGCTGTGAAGTGGTTTTCTTGGAAAGTAAAACCACAGCACCACATCTTAGGGTGTCACTGTTGTCAGCGGACATTTAGTTGGGAGCATGCTGCTGACAAAATGGCTGACAGCGATCTCTCCGTGAGTAGAAAGTCCACAAAAGCACTTTTAAAAAAAATAATTAGCTTACATGGCAAGCTGCTTCAGAGGTTCCCGAAGCAGAAGAGGGCTGTTGATTTACACCAAACCAAACTGATAGTGGTGCCAGCGTTGCCAGGTTCACATCATCAAGGAGTGAAAATGGTTTTCTGATTCCCCTCCCCTCAGCACTGGAAAGATGCTTAACTTTTCCTTCCTTTTGTCTTTGCTGCATCACCTAGAACAGGATGTCAAACTCATTTTCATTTTAGGCCATATCAAAAATTTGAATGTTCTTAAAGAACCTGTTGTGTCAGAATGTCTTGATAAAATTATTACACTGTTAAAATACCTATCACTAGCTGTTTGTTTCACCATTCAATAAGTGTTTCTTAAAATTAAATAGTGAACATCTTTTCACACTGATCAGTCCCTCCAGGATTTCGTGACTGTTTTTGTGGTTTTATGTAGTTTTGTGGTGCTAAATATGTGTAAGGAATGTCTGACGTTAAACGTGACTTTTTATGACTTGCCTTATCAATAACAGGCTACAACTTGACATTTGCCGTCAGCGGACATTTAGGCAGCACTCAATTAAACTCAATGTTTTTGACCAATTATGAGAAAAAAATTGCAGTAAAAATCAAAAGGAAATGTGGAGATCTGTTGACTTTGTGTGAATTTGACATATTTGTGGAAAACTGGAGGGATTTGTTGATGGAATTTGGAGTCCAGAGGACCACATACAAAGCTACTGGGGGCCAGATTTGGCCCCCGGGCCTTGAGTTTGACACATGTGACCAAGATCAGGGTGTCTGACTCATTTTCATTTTGGGTCACATCAAGATGACATGTGTCCTCAAAGCGTCAGTTGGAGCACAACATATCGATAAAAGTATCCACTGACATCCTGTTAAAATGTTAATACTTTTGAAGAGAACATAGACTTAAATAATATTCTACATGTTTGATGTTATTTGATAGTATCCAGACAAAAACACTGATAAAATCACTTTCACACTGTACCGTGTTGAATGAAACAAAGCCTTTGAAAAACTTACCCCCCTCCTGGCCTATGGGGGCGCTGCAACAAGAACCACCAAAGGAAATGACACTGAAGAAGACACTGAACTCAACTTCCTTATTGATGAATTAGGAACACTCTTTCTACTTCTGTCAGAAATAAGGATCAGAAAACTAAAGCAGCTATGACAAAGACAGAAAAACATTTTGAACCAGTTTACCTTCTAAAACATATCCATCCATTTGA